CAAATGAGACTCATAATTGTAGGTTAATAAAGATCTATCAGTGTACAGTATTTTAAAAAAAATCCATAAAAGTTAAGTATATTTTTTCTGTCAAATAAAGTTTCCGTACTTTTGATTTAATTTCAATGTTTGAAGTTTACACGAGGGCTATCTGCGCCAGCCGTCCATAATTTAGCAGTGAAAGACAAGAAAAGGCAGCTAGTCACCACCACCCACCGCCAATTCTTAGACTACTCTATTACCATCAAATAGTGGGATTGATCATCACCCTATAACGCCCCCAAGGCTGAAAGGGCGAGCACGTTTGGTAGAACAGGGATTCGAACCCGCGATCCTCAGATTGCGAGTCAAGCACCCCAACCACCTGGCCATGTTATATCTCCGGTAGTTCTTAATGGATTGCATTAAAATTTGATATGTGGAGTAAGAGTCCAGTAGAGCTAATTCACTGAAAATATGTGATAGTTTGGATTACTATAGTCCGAAATACAGAAGGTGGAAAATCGCTAAACCATCATTCCTGTTATTAACACACACAGTGTGTCATGCAGGTTTTGTTGGGTTTTTTTCCCGCAAGACACACACATCAAACATCATTAACATATAAAAACGATTTCGTATTTTCTAAACGAACATCCGGTTCCAGAGTGGCGCCATCTGCATCAACATGCAATATGCTAATTGGGTCTATTCATGCTTATACTAATGGAAACTGATAAAATAATTTTTATTTTTATTTCTGTTTGTTTTATACTACGTTATCCTTAGTGTTTTTCCACCTTGTTGTATGTTATAAATATATTCATTGCATTGCATGAAAATGCCACAGCAAATGTGTAAGCAGGTTTGTTTCCTACTTAAGACTTTTAGTTTAAATTTGTGTTTTATTTTATTTTTTGTTTTGCAAACACTCATATCAATCTATCTTGGTCTACTTTATTCTGTTTTTACACCTTGGGGTGTTGTATATTTCGCAAATATAAATCGTATATTAAATATATGTTTTTCCTCACCTGATGTAAAGAATGTTCGACTACTTGAGATGTTAAAACACAATCGTAATTTGTGTTAGGCTTACGAAAGGAAAATTGTGGAACAGTTGAGTTTTTCTGAAAATATAAACATTTTTATCCTGTGATTCGATATATGTGAATGCGAATATATACATTTTTGCCAAAACGCCTCAACTTTATGAAAATAATATATTTCATACATCAGTTCAATTGTCCCCCACCCACCAACCCACCCTTTACACGTGATACAAAACATCATTCTGCACTACGCCGATTTCTTCTTGTAAAGTTTACTTCTTGGGATATCTCGAGTGCACATTTTAATAACTGTATTTAGGTTGGTTTGTTGGTTCTTTGTTTCTAAGCGCAAAGCCACACAATAGGCTATCTGTGCTCCGCCAACCATGAGTATCGAAACCTGATTTTTAGTGTCGTGAGCTTGCAGACTTACCACTGAGCCGCTTGGGGACACCGCATTTAAAGGCCCGTTTTACTGCTATATTAACAATATCAGTAATTAGATTATGCACATTTACAAGTATAATAAAGCTAAAGGCTAAAATTGGCAGTTAGAGATGGCAATATCTGTGCTCAGACCGCATTTATCTTTCTTATTCGACGTTTTCATTTTTATTTTTGGCTTAGCGCAATTATTCTACAGACCTTTCACGAGCAGGCTGAAAGACATTAATCTTTCTTTTAAGTTAAACTTAGAATTGCCAAATCAATGAATATTTTTGATGTATGTTTGTTTGTTTTTTACTCTCTCTTTTAACACTGCGTTATGCCAAGCTAAATCAAGTTTAAAAGTCCAGGAGGCGTATGAAACGGCTTTTTGTGTCAAAAGTAAGCTTTAATATATATTAATGATATTATTTTGTTTTCCAACCGATGTAAAAACGCCGAGTGGAGAAGGTTTGGTTTGATAATATCAAATGATTGTAATTAGTGTAAATATATCACTGAATGCTTTGCACACAAGATTACCCGAGGAAACTTTAATCCCATTAATGTTTTAAATGTAAAGGATCTCAGTAATCTTTGGAATTACAGAAGACGTACCGGATTCGTTGATCAAAAGGAGTGGTACCTTAAGGAGCCATGCTATGAAAAATGCATGGTGAGTACTAACTAGCTACAAAACCTTTATATTACTGCCATTTCCTCATTAGCCTTTCTCTTTTATTTCCTTTTGCAGTTTCTGCGCATGTAACAAGCTCCCCATTAATGTAATTCATAATATAACTCTTCACTGTAAAAGCTGCTACGTCAAATAAAATCTAACCCTTATTATTAGAAACAAGCAGCATTTAGCTATTACTCCATATTAACGTTTCGTGTACTACTTTCACATTTTGTCACATTAACAACTGAAATTATTTTATAATTAATGCTTAGCTTTTGTAATACATTAATATTGCTTAATGCTGTCATGTAAAAACCTATTTAAAGGTTCTAAGAACTAACGATGGAAAGTAAAGAAGAAAGTATAGCAAAATGTCAACAACAGTATATCTGCTAT